ACAACATGAGCACAACAAATTACAAGATGCACTACGCGAAGGATGATCTTGACGATATCGATGAGAACGATGTGGGAGAAAAAACGAATACCCTTGTTGGAGATGCTGATAGATATGAAGAAGAAGGGAGAAATGACGGATAAGGAAATTTTGGATGATCTTAAGACTGCTTTGTTCGGGGTGCGATATAATTTCTATGCTGTAATGCATTTTTAGACTTACGAAGTTTTTCTAGTAAACCACTGAAATTAAATTCCATGTTTCGCAAAGTCATCACCACGCGGATGCTTACACTTTTACATACCTTAACAAAAAAGACAAGGTAATGAACGAAAACGTTACAGGGTCACGACACCGTATCAACTACCGCGAGTTTCGTGCTCTGCACATTAGGATGTCTTTCAGAAATTCAGATAATAATGTGACTCGCGACAAACTATTCTTACATTGAGGAACCCATTTAGTTCACTTAAATAAAACTTTTTTTTGGATATGGGCTGAAAGGAAAATAAAAAATGTTTAATTTCGAGACGCTCCATTTCTTAAATGAAATTTTACTCTATAACATAGTCATAATATTCACTCCGTATCACTAAGTAGAAGAAATCATGCCATAAAAATGAGAAGTCATAAAATTCGAATTACTTGGCTGTCATTACATTTCTCGATATTTTTTAGAGATTTCACTGCAAAAAAAGAGAGTATTTGAACTTGTAATGAAATGATATCATTCATTTCCATTGTGCAGCAACGTGTACACGAAGAAATGGACTCAATATTCTTTGACAGCGACAGGCAGTGTACTTTCGTGGACACTGTCAACATGAAGTATCTGGAGAGAGTTATATTGGAAACATTGAGGCTTTTTCCCACAATACCACTAATTTCAAGGAAAATTAAAAAGGACGTAAGGATAGGTAATCCCATCCCAATGAATTTTATAGCGTCACTAATTAACACGCCTATATGTCATATTTTAAGTACACGCATTGTAAATTAGACTAAGGCAAGAGAAGAATCATCTGTATGTTAAAGTTACGGGCAATTACGTTCTTCCAAAAGATGCCACCCTTGTGATGATTCCATTCCTGGTACATCGTGCAGAAAAATATTACCCGAATCCACTAGTTTTTAATCCAGATAATTTTCTACCGGATAAAATGCAACAGAGGAATCCTTACGCTTACATTCCCTTCAGCGCAGGCCCGAGGTAAAAAAGAATGTGTATGCTCCGAAACGTCTTAGAATTTATTATTGGCATCACATAAATAGTACTGAATATATTATCACAACTGTTAATGTTTGACTCTTTTTTTTGTAGGTCGTGCGTGGGACGAAAGTACGCAATGCTGAAAATGAAGATTTTACTGTCCACGATATTAAGGAAATATCGTATTACTTCTGACGTGGCATATCAAGAATTTCCTTTGCTAGCAGAAATTACCCTGAAAAGGGGCGACGGATTCAACGTCAAGATCGAGTCGCGTAAACCAGCATCTCAGACAGGAGATACTATCTCCTCATAGGAGGGAAAAATACAAATATGGCAATGGGTATATGTGTGTGTGTGTGTGCCAGGTGTAGAAGTGTGAAACCAGAATTTCCCTATAGATGGTGCTAGCCATCAGTTTAGGGACCGTAAGACCGCCTCTGCAGCGCCATCATCTCCCTCTAACAGCTGGCGAAGATTTTCCTCACACAACAACCCAAGTTCCATACACCGGTATATTTTTCTATAACCTTAAACATGTCGAGTTTTGTGCTTACGAACTTCGATTTGCGGACAGCATTGGTTTTTTGTTATCATTTGAAGAAAACTGTTGCAAAATCGCATCGAATGCTTGTCGAAGCTTACGGTGAACATGCTCTTGGTAAAACACAATGTTTCTAGTGGTTCAAAAAATTCAAAAGTGGTAATTTTGACGTGAGAAACG